ACTTCATGGGAATTTATATTTATTTGTGTTTTTTCATGGCCTATATGATAAAATAAAATATTCTTGTCACCACTTGTTTTGTTGAACTTTTGGTGTAGTTTTTAAATATGTATGTTTTATTTTTTATTTCTATACCAATATTTAAATAAAATAGATTGAAAAAACTTGGGATTTTTCTTCGTTTTGCGAACCGGGAAGATCATTATAGGACGGAGGGAGTAACAATGATTGACTGAAAAAAATCAAAACTAGATAACTACTCAGAAACGGAGGTAATAATATAATTTCATGTATGGTTAAATAACAACAACAACAACAATAATAATAATAATGTTACAAATGATTAAATATTTTGGGACAACTTGCTTCAAAATTGGGGTCTGATTGCATTATTGGACTCGATTCTTTCATCTCTACAGAACGATATAATTTTTATTCTTAATTGACAAGTAATCATAATTTACTCTAGATTCATCTCAGTAATTAATCAATTATCTTTTAATTAATTATGATATGTTGGGTTTGAGGGTGTTGCACTTTGATTATTACTTCCTCTGTCCTAAAATTAACTTCCTAATTTGACTTTTGCCGTCAAACTTTTTAAACTTTGACCGTAGATTAAGGAAAAAATACATTGAATTTTCATATAAATTTATTAGCAATAGATTCATTTTGGAATATAGTTTTGAAATATATAATTTTTATAAATTATATTTATATAAAAATTGAGATAGTGATGGTCAAAGTGACGCATTGGAGACCTTGAAAAATCAAATAAAAAGTTAATTTTAGGACAGAGGGAGTATAATGGAATGGACATTAAAATTAGTGATATAACAACCAATAATTAGTCTTCTTGGTGTAACTTAAATTCAAAACCAATAAGCTTTATTGATGAGTTTTATCGGTTAGTCTCAATAGATTGCAAAGAAAATAAATATTAAAACTCGTCATATGTCCTTTTTTTAATATTCCCTCCGTTCCACAAAACCCTTCTGGTTTTGACTTTGGAAAAAATAAGGAAAGTGTAAATTTGGCTGACTTTTCAATTTTGCCCTTGATGTGATGGGAAAAAGTAAGATGTGATAATTTAGTTATTAGTGAAAAAATATGATGAGATAAGTAGGGGTAAAAGTGATTTTTTAATAGAAAGTGAAAGTGTTTTGTAAAAAGAAAAAAACAAAAGTAGAAGGGTTTTGTGGAACGGAGGGAGTATAAATTGAGATGAATGGAGTAGCACATTGACATCGCCATACGTCCTTTTTTTAAAGAGCCACATACGTAGCCGGACCGGGAACCGGTGACCAAACCGGTCCGGTCCAGCCCAAAAGACCGCCTCTGCTGCGAACCGGGGAGAACCGGAAAAAAATGGCAAAATCCGCCCGGTTGAACCGGAAACCAATTTTTTTTTGGTTTTTGCGATAGTCCTCAACCAAATGCACCGCGCAGGGATTCGATCCCTAGACCTCCCAATCAATCCATACGTCTAAAGCCACCTTGGCTAAGGACTCCTTGTGTCATATCTTGCATAAAGTAAAAATATATAATATAGTTTACGATAAAAAAAATTCTAAAATGATTTCTTTTCAAAAAACATTTAAAAATATAATATTGTAACTATAATTTAAACTTTTAACTACTCTGTATTCTAAAATACATACTACCTTCGTCCCTAAGTATTTGTTCAGTTTTGACTTTTTTGTCAACTGTTTTCAACATTTAACCTTTTAAATAAAATATATATTTTATTTTATTTAAATATAATAATATTTTGAAAATATTTAATATAATAAATCTAATATAACTTTTTTTGTATCAATATCTAATAATTTGAGGTCAAATCTTACCTATTTTGACAAAAAAAAATCAATGAGATATTTAAGTTGAATAAGTTTTGAAAACATTGGACAAAATCTTGAAAAAAATAAAATCTCCTACTTTAAGAGCATAAAATTTTCAATATAATTTTTAAATATGTCATTGTATATAATTTTATCAATTTAATGCTACCATTCAAATTAATTAAATTGATTATAACTTTAGTCATACTCCGTATATCCTAAATAACTTAATTATTTTTATTTTTAGATAGAAGAAATATTTTTTGTAATGTATATATATATATATATATATATATATATATATATATATATATATATATATAATTTTCAAATATGCGTGTACCACTGGTTCGACCACTTGAACCACCGGTCCGACCAGTGAACCAGTGAACCAGTACTTTGGCCGGTTCGGTCATCGGTCCGGTTTTTAAAACTATGGTTATGAGTGTCAAGTTTATATACAAAGAATTTATACTCCGTATTTAACCTTTTTGATGCCAATGTATCATGTACTACCTCCGTTTCTCAAAAGAGTTCCTCTTTTGACTTTGAGAGAAAATAAGAAAGTGTTAAATTGTAGTTGACTTTCCAATTTTGCCCTTGATGTGATGGGTGAAAGTAAGATGTGATAGTTTAGTTGTTAGTGAAAAAGTATGATGTGATAGGTAGGGTATGAAAAAGTACGGGTAAAAGTGGTTTTTTAATAGAAAGGGGAAGTTGTAACGCCCTGAAAATCGGTCTAGAAATTTTTAACTTTCTAGTATAAAGCAATAAAAATATTTTTAGAAAAAGAGAAAATTCGAAAAAAAATAATAGTAATAAATTTAAAAAAAAATTAAAGGAAAAAATGTTACTATTATTTGGTTAGAAACAATCAATTTGGAATTTAATTTAAATGATTAAATTACTAGTAGAGTTGGGAAAAAGAATAAAGTGAAAGGGAATAAAAAACTAGTTTGGGTTCTTTACCATTTGAATAATAGAGTTTGTTCAAATGAACTTATTTTCTTGACAAACAAATTATATTAAAATGATATATGGAAAATATGGAACTTAACAGTATAAGTTTTATAGTTTTCTAAAAATATTTGGCAACTGAAAAAGTGGAAATCAGACACGTAATACTAACCAAACGGAGTGAGAAAACTTTTAGTTTCCCCCTTGTTACTCACGCCAAAGAGAGAAAAGTTTTTTTGTAACTCCTTCTTTCAATTCATCACATTTAATAGAGTAGTGAATTATTTTATTATTATTAAAAAAAATATTTATTAATTTAAGACTATTCATTACCCTTTCCTTTCACTTCTAGAATCCTCTCTTATTCCTATAAGTAGGGTATCTTGGGAAGAGAAACTCA